ATATGTTTATCAAGAGAACCATTAGGCATGAAGTCATACACAAGGGCACGTTTTGATCCTTCAACACAAAAGCCAACCATTTGTACCACATTGACATGGTGAATTCTTCCAATGGTAGCAACTTCATTGAAAAAATCTTGTCCTGTACCTTTTGATTTGCCCAACATCTTTATTGCTGCAAGGCGACCACTCTTAAGCTTTGCTTTGTAAACTTGACCAAAACCGCCCTCACCCAATTTCTCCTTAAAACCATTGGTCATCTTCTTGATTTTTGAGTAAGAATACCTTACAGGCATTAGATTATTGTTGCTTTGCAAAAATTCTTCAATAGAATTATACATGGATAAATGCCTTCTCCTCCATTTGAAGACCAAAAATATGATAAAAATTGGAATTCCTAGAACAGCTACGACTACGTGCCATGGCACAACAATTACTGCAAAAAAGGTAAAAAAGAACATTATTTTTTTTAAGCCATAACATAATATTGATTTATACATTATGTTTCCTTTTCTTTTCTTTTCTTTTTTGAAATAATTTCGATAAAAGATTTGTATATTGTATCGTGTGTTTGTTTCTTGACATTTGAATTTTAGAATGCTCATATTCAAGACAATTAGAGATGCTTTGAAAGAAGGATTATTGCTAGAAAAGCAAGCATTAGTACTTCACTCTACATATATATATAGGCCTTGTAATTAAGATTTGGCTTTTTGTTATTAATCAATCATCAGTAAACTTGGTGAGAAAAAGCAATCTTCATATTCATGCTTCAAAATTGATTATTAAGAGGCACTTATTGTATGCAATTGATTCCAACAATGACTTAATAAGGCGATAGAGGTGGGAATGCCATGTGGAACAAAATTATTGCCATGTCATCAATTGCGTATGATGTTTTTTCCACAAAAGTTTGTGAAAATTAAGATAATTAATTTGTGGAGACTTAACGTGCTATGTATGCACTTTTGTTGACAAAAGGACCATTTTAGTTACAGAAAAATAAACTTTAAAGACAATTTGGGTGCTTGTTGAAGTTATAGGACGAACTAAGTTTAGAAATGAAAGTTGAGGGACCGAATTGGGTATTTAACCTTCATCGAACATATTTCTAGTAATCTAGATTTAATGAAAATCACTAATGGAAGGACTTAATCGAGGAGATGCTAATAATTTTAGGAACAATCGCCATTTTCGGGAGTTGAAGAATGATAATTATTTTGAACCTTTTCAACAGCACTCATCTGTTCTCACATGCAAGGTAACCACCCAAATCTGGTGCAAGTGCCATCAATGGTAGGAAATACGAACTGCTGCTGCTAGGAACAGTAGTTGGGATGCTTTTATTCATCATGAAGGACTAGCAGTTTCTTGGATTATGAAAATTGGGTGGGATGTGTTATGGTTTGCATTGGCATGGGCAATTTCACTTACTAAAATGAAAAACTGTTTAAAAATGGTGCAGTTGACATTGAAAGAATGTTTGACTCGATTTAAGTTAAAAGTTTTAAGTGGTTGACGACTCAAGGGCAAGAAGGGCATTTTCATTTTTTAGACTGGCTCTTTTTTTTTTTTTTTTTTAAATGACCTTTTCGGACTGGCTCCTAATCCAAGATTATGCTGTTGTAGTGCTGAGAAGATGGGATGATGCTGTAACTCAAATATAGTGAGTTGTA